AAGCATATATTCTTATTTTAAAGCAAGTTGACTTGAATTAAAAAAATATTTTCAAGATGATTGGTATTCTAAATGTAAGAAATCTTTTTTTTTAGTGTACAGATTAAAGTTAAAACCATTTAAGTTAAATTAAATTACGCCGACTACAATAGTCGAAGTTTCGCTACAGTTGTCATCTTGTCGTATTCATCAAGAATGAACAGCGTTTTGGTTTTATTATTATTCTGGCTGGCTCTACTTAATATAAGACGCATATCGATAAGAGTGGCAGTCTGCGAGTCAGTCAACTTTTACATGAACGTAGAAGACGTAAACAAACTCGACGAAAGCGGCTTTCCAAATGTACATAACGGTTACAGGTCGGGAGCGAATCGACCGACCTTATCTGTGAAGTTTTGGCGATTAACCTTCAATGGCAGTGCCCAAACCTAAGGAATAGTAATTACAAATTTCCTTTATGAGATTATTTATTTAGCTTCGTTTACAATTTTAATTGTATTTTATACCAAGGACAGCTCAAACAGGATGAATGCTAATAAATGGCCTATTATGATACAAAGTTAGTGGGTATATTAATTTTATAGTAGATATAATAATTTGGTATGTATTATTTTGCTAGTATACCCTTCTAAAGGTGCATACAAATTAGGAGAGAAAATAATAATAACAAGTATTTTAATTTGTATTGTGAATCACAACTTGTGAGGCGAGTTGGCGGGATAAGTTTTAACTTAAAAGGATTTTTAATGCTCGTTTGTACTCTTGGAATGTTCCCCTAAATTGAATGCTCGAGCATTTTGCATCACCAGGGCTGGGTTAACAGTGTTTACCCAGCACTGGTGATGCTTAACTTAACACTTAAACCTACACATTTATTGCCACTAACTCGTGACCCACAATTGTTTCTAAATTGTTTATGAGCAAAAAAATAACTGCGCGGAATTGTGCGCAGGCCTTGGCATAGACCTTGACCTCTGACTTTTTAAGTTTATTCATCTTAAAAACGCTCGTGCAATTTTAATGCATACCCAAAATCGATCGTTTTGCTGCGCAGGACTCTTCATAAGTTTAGTTCGCCGGCTTTGGTTATTTTTTGTTTATAACCAATTTAGAAACAATTGTGGGTCACAAGTTAGTGGCAATGAATGATAACTTATCGCATTTTACAAATATTGAAAAGATTTGAATCGTTTCGCACTTTGTGTGCTTGCTTGAGTGTTTATACACTTTATTTCAACAATTAATTGTATATTATAAAATGAATAATTTAGTAAAATTGTAGTTTAATAAATTAATAAATATATTAAATAATAAAAAAGGTCAATCACCAATAGTGACACCTTTTAACATTGCAATAAAGTTTGAAATGTTAAATTAAGGTAATTTTTTTAAGGTTTTTAACGTACTGAAACCGAATTCGACCTCAGAATTGCTCCATCACATCAGGTATTTGAAAAATTACATAACCAGTAAGTACACGGAGAAAATAAAACATTGATACGCAGAACAGTATTTCACTTATGTTCAATCTAAAATTGTTATTAATGTGTAGAATATTGATCACTACAGTTCCTAACACTACTCATTGATGTCACAAAACTAATAAGTAATGCTGTTGTCAAAGTAACCCGTGATGTTTTATTAGAAATTGTATTATTTTAAACGGTTGATTAATGTTCTGGGCATAAATGGTTAGTGTTCTGTGCACTGAGAGAAAAAATGTTGTAAAATCATTCAAAACGATAATAATTCAAAGGGATTCAAATATGTTTTGGCGTCATTGTTGTTTCCCATTAAATTAATAGGTGCACAACAATTGTATAATACATATCTTTTTAAAACAACTTTGAGAAAGTCAATGAAATAAATGGATTTCTTTTTGTATATATATTTTAAAGAGGGTACACTTTAAAAGTGTTTCAAAAAATTGTAAAACTGTTGGTAAATGAATATAAAACTACAAATTTTTCTATTTGAATCAAATTTACCCGATTATTTAAATTAATATAATTTCATATGCTTTTCATAACTTGATATTTCTCTGAGTGTGATCAATGGTTACTGTTTTATTTTCTCCATGTGGAATAACTAGAGTTGGGGATGGTCAATTGACCGCACATATAAAGATGGACATAACTTTTATAATAAAAAAACTCGGTAACGTATTTTAATGACTTATTTATTAAGTACAAATAAAACTCAATTTTTTGTTACAAAATGAACCAGTTAAAACCTTTAGTTAAACAAAAAAGCCGGATACGACTGCAAAAAGCTGAACATTCTGTAAATTCGTTAATTTATTGCTAACGATGATCTGTAACAATAATGCTTGTAGAATCATAAAAGTGGCAATTCTGGGATGTTATATGTAAAAGTCTAATTTAAATTGATATAAATGAACTGCTACAACTTCACGGCTTATGATCAAACAAAACCTATATTTTCATCTAGTTAATTTACTTACTTTATAAAAATAAGGACTCTATATATAAATATATATATATATATATATATATATATGTTGTGAATTTACTTACATTGATAATAAAGTTATTTTGTAATTTGCCAGATGAAATAAAACACAAGTATTACTTTTTTTAACCCCTTATTTAAATTAAATTAAAAAGAAACAACAAATACAAAAGGGGGGTCTGTTGAGTCGGAGTGCAATTCAGGGAAAAGGACCATAAAAACCCTGAGCGACTTTTAAAGAACAAACAAAATAATATATACAAGGCAAAACGAAAAACATATCAAAAATTAAAAATAAACAAATAAAAAAAATACGTAAACGAAATAACAATGTTGTACTCAGTAATTTGGGATTTTATATATAAAATGCTTATAAGCAATATATACAGTATACAAGCATTTTATACTCAGGCAAAGTCATTATTAAAAGTGGTCATAAGTTAATGACAGTAAAACATAACCAATTATTACCTTACCACATATCCTCAAACTATTGTTAGATGATACGATTTTTAAATGCAATTAAATAAATTATAGGTACGACACCTTTCAAATAAAGAGAGTTATAATGCCAAAATAAAAGGAGGATAGAAAGGAAAATGCTGAACATAATAACCACACTATGGTGAATTGTTAGTAAGGCATCCCTGTGGTGTGGTATGGTCACCCCCTTTAACCCGATGTCCGTATACCACCTAAGTATTCAAATTCCTTAACCTATATCCAGAACAAGACAGCATTATGGCGAGAATATTTAAACACGTCCTGCACACAGTTTAAGTAAGGTAGTAAAATAAAAGCACCACCTTTCACATAGTATCTTTATATTACCTATATATGCACAAATGTACACACTTACCTTTTTGTTATTTATCATTTAGATATAATTGAGAAATTAAATTTCTGGATAATGCATGGCGGACATACAATTAAAAAACGTGTACAACTTACCTTGAAAATTCGGGATTAGGGCGTACAACCCCCAAGAAATTAGCAAATATAACAAACACTACCTAAACCAGAGATAACCAATACACTTATATCAATCGGCGTCACCAGAAATACCGATTAATCACATTGGTCACGTTGGTCACATTTAACTATACGAACGTACGCGGTTGCCGATGTGTGGGGTGGCAGGGGATGCCCTGGCGCGTTTGTGAATTTTAGCAATCATTAAATTGAATATAAGCCGAATAGAAAAAATGGGAATGATAATTGGGCAAATAACAAGAATTTTTCAAGGCAGAGAAAACATTGGTATTCACTGTAAGACAGTAATCATTTACTTTACCTTAGTTTTCATTGGAATAAAAATCATAAACATTAAAGGAAACAACGACTATGCTTATTTCGTTTGTTTTTAATTTTTGGTTGAAGCATTTTAACTTTTAATATTAATCAATTTTATATTTAATTAAATATTGTTAATTTTACCATTTTCAAGGAAGTACACATTTCCATTAGGTTTAAATATAAAGAGCCATTTACACTAAAACAAGTAATTTTAACTTGATAATATTTTGTTATGGGCTGAATATAATATTTGTAATAACATCAATCCCGTACCCTCATTTGCTCCAAACATATTTGATTGAATAAATATTAACGCTGTGTACCGCTGTGTACATTCCCCCAAGATTTTGACGCTTTTCGCTACGTCGCGACGCGTCGGTTTGAAGCCTACTTGAAGGTCCTTTTTGTGAAATAACTAAAATACTTAATACTAAAATGTGTACATTATTTTATTATATTAATACAAAAATACAGAATTATTAAATAGTTTTTTTGACCCCAATCTTTAAAAAGTTTATATGCACGATTGTACTATAGTATACACACTGAAAGAAATATATGTTTGTTTTAGCAATGTATGTGGTTCATATATGGACTACCACATACATTGCTGAAGCAAACATATATTATATTTAGTTTTAACATAATATGTTAAAACTAAATATAAAAATGGTTAAGGTAAATATAATATATGTTTGCTTCAGCAATGTATGTGGTAGTCCATATATGAACCACATACATTGCTAAAACAAACATATATTTCTTTCAGTGCAGTATACTTTTTGATTTTGCCGGCAGAAAACTAGTAGTTGCCGATAAAGCATTAATAATATCGGTACCCATAAGAACTATTTACTTTTACTGTAAAAACTGCTTATATATCGGATTTAAACGGTCCATTTTTAAGTTAAAAAATTCGATTTTTACAGAAAAATTTGACAAACTGACACTGACATTTCCAATTTTACTTACTCTATTTTGTATAGTTACATAAGTACATACATGTCGTCTTTACAAATATTTAAATTAATTTGTAGTAAATTATTTTTTATAATAATATTTGTCGTAGAAAAAGTATAGTAACCTCGTTTATAAACTTTTCTAGTCACTTATTTTTATAAAAATTAAAAATAATAAATTTACGTTTTATACAATTAATATAAATCGCATTACAAATAAGCAGTTTTATAGCTTTGTATTATTTTTAAACGATTTTTTATTTTCTTTTTCAGATTGAATGAAATTGTTTTCATTGGACATTTTTATTTTGTTAATGGATTTATAAGGTAAGCTCATTAATAGTTTATTTTAATGTATTATTTACTTTACTAATTAACAGTTAAATTTGGTTACTATAGTAGTATGCCTACTACTAGCATATGCCTACTACTACAGATTGCAGCATACACTTTAAAGGCATAAATTAATAAACCTAAATAAACAGTATATTTTTACTTGCTTATAAACAATACATTTTTATACGCAATCGACTTACAGCTTGCTACTTACTTTTTAGTGTGAAGGACGATCAAATTACGACTAAATACTGCCAACTAAAGTTTAGTTAATTAAACTTAAAACAATACCGTCTTAAGACAAGGTCAATTTAGACTAATGGTTTCCCTAACTTTATTAATTTTATTGTCGTTGTTTTTCTTTTAATTAATCAAAGCAAATGCAAAAAATAAACAAGACTTTTTAGTATTACATTAAAAAGGTCATCAGCATTTAACAATAATTGATTAAAAACTGTTAATTACTAAATTAATTAAAAGCTTTTCTGCAGTTGCATTAAAATAATACAAAATGCAAATACATTTAAATTAAGAGTTACATAAACAAGCGTTCGTATATGCTCGCACATACCTAATTGCTTTTTAAAGGTCAAGTGCGATGTATCATTTTATTTCAAGGATTTTCTCGCAGCCGATTAAACCTTTTTAAGTAGTGCCTAAAAAATTAAATAAGAATTATTTGCAAGCAAAGGATAAATAAATATTTTTTTCTTCAAGCGGTCTATTATTTAAACTTTAATGTTGAGTGTTTTTAAAATTTGCGCATGCCTAGGATGCTCGGAATTAGTTTGGGATTAGCTCCGTGAAAACAGCTATTTTCAAAACACTACTAGTGACCAATCGGGTAAAGTTTTTTACCTCAGGCGGTAAAAAACTCGAAAACATGTCAGATTTACCTAACCTTACTTTCAACTTTGAATAATTATTATTATTATAACTGTTGTAAGCCATTCGGCTGAGAAGTGTCTTTTTGTGCTTCGCCCAAACTTTGAGCTCAGCACAAAAAGATTTTCTATTCAGCCTGATGACATATTCTGAAGAAGCTACTGTGTAGGGGAACAATTGTCCACATTTAATAAATTACGTAAAACTTTCAAAACATTGTTTTTATATTTACATAGTTAATATGGAGTTTCATCAAGTAAAGGTCGAAACAATTAATAATTTTCAAATCCATTGTGACTGTTATTTAGGCAAACTAAAGTTAATTCTGTTGTTACTCTAAGCAGTAAAGTTTTGCTTAACGATACCTTTTCTTTTAAGTTTTAATGTCGTAGCGATAGTAGTGCAGTGTGACAAAAGAGACATGTGACGAAGGAGACATTTTTTACAATAAAAAAATCCATTTTCCAAGTGACACAATAAATGCATATAAAACATTGCATTAATTAAAAAGAAAGATATTGTTTTACTTTACATGTAAAAAAAAGTTAAATACTGCAAATTTGTTATTTTATTTTAGTTTAAGAATTTTGTTTTATACAAAACCTATGAAGGTTTTCACTATTTCAATATGATAGGGACATGGGGTTATAGAGTGTGATGCTAACTCTTAACCTTAATTAAAACATATCATATTTATTTGGATTACTGGATTATTGGGTTCACCCCACAAACTTCAACCTCGTCCGTAAAGATTCATTTACAAGGCTTGACACGTAAATAACTATTATTAACGCATAAAATAAACAGAACAAAAACGTCAAGGCTATTTTTAAAATTTGTGAATGATTTTTGTCAAAATTTATTTTAAATAATTTTATATATTTTTGTATACGTACTTAAAAAGTGTTTTTGTTTTTAATTTATAAACAAAATTTCCACAAGTAAATTAAAATTAAAAAAAAATTAACCCTTCTGTAAAAATGGCTAATTCACTAACCTGGCTTGTTAACATTTGGCACTAGAATTAGTGGCTATAGTTATTCGGCCTGATTGGTCGGGTCGGCCGATAACCACTGATTATATATAGTGGCTAACGTTAACGACTCACTCAGTGAATAGGAAATATTACTGTGGTAGTATTTTTTTTTCCTTGTTACATGTTGATCTTGCAAATTTACAGAAAAAAAAACTAAAAATACAATTACATTATATATGCTGATCCAGTAATGTAATTTTATTCTTAGTATTTTTGTTGTGAATTTACTATATAGTAATTATCATTCTCGAAACTAAGATTTATAATTTTACTATAGTTTTTAATAGTAAACATTTAGTAAATTTAACATTATTTTTAACAGTGTATGTAAAAAATAGCTGTAATTTATTGTTTTCAATTGTCTCATTTTCATTATTGCACTAAAAGAACAATATTTTTAATATTCAACTATTGTAACCGCAGACCAGTCTGTAAGTGTAACTAAATTTGCATAGAATATTTTAATTTATGTTTGGATAATTAGTATTAATGTGTTTTTACCTTGTGGGCCTACAAATGAAAAAGGAATATTGTAAAAATAGAACAAAACAAATGGGCATATTGCCGAAATATTTCTGACGCAAACAATGCTATAAGAATAAATAGGTATAAAAACATTTTGTCAGTTTTTAAAAATAAACTCAAAACAATTATTATATTAATTTACTTTTTACTCAAATACGATCTGTATATTTTATTATACCTTATACAAAACATAATTAAATTCAGAGCTGGCCAAGGCTCCAGTACTTTTACTAAAATTTTATTTTTCTTATGATCTTTAGTATACTAATATATTAGTGTCAGGCCAGAACTGGCTGGTGCAGGCGGTATGGTGTCCCTTGCTGCAAGGCCCCCCCAGAAGAAAACGGTTTACTTATACTTATATAAATATACTAATTCAAGAAAAAAGTTAGGTAAGGGGAACCTTTATAGGATAAAAAAGAACATGCTATGCAACAACAAAATATACAAGACTTCTTTTAATTTTGTTTTGTTTTTATGATTTAGATATTAACAATTTCAAAAAAAGTACTCTAACTCCTGCGTTCACGATTCCGTCTTTGTAAAAGTACTTGCTTGAATAAAATGTAAAACTCCAACATTTTTGTCTTCTTATAGAAGGCATTCTCATATACGAAAAATAAATAAATATAATGGTAAAACATTATTTCAGAAATTTTGTCCTATTTTGGGAGCTCTTTCCAAAGGAAGCTAGCTTTCATTGCTGGCCAAACAAATATTATAAAATGGAAATTTCTCTAAGAATAAACTTTACGGTAAATTAGAATTTGAGGAGAAATATTAGGAAGATTTTTTTTAATTTAATAATTGAAGCATGGAAATTCAAAAGCGTCCAAGTGCCACTGCAGTGCTAAGCAAAAAGGTGGTAACTAATGCATTACTTAATATTGTTTAATACATTTGTGCTTTGCACGGCAGCGGCACTTGGACGCTTTTGAATTTCCATGCTTCAATTAGTGGTGCCACCTCTAGCGTCAATGCAAGCACGACTTCGACGGGACATGCTTTCTATGAGGTTATTAATTTCTTCTTAGGATACACCTTCCCATTCCTCTAAAACAATTTATTGCTCCGTATTGCCAGGGGGCCATTTCAAGCATGCGGACAGGATAAATCACAAAACTGTTTTTATATAAAAAAAAAATGGTAGGTAATTTATTATATATTTTGGCATCCAAATTGTCAAACATATTCTTCTTTTATTAGGCTAGGTATACATTAAATTAAAATTTACAAAAGTAGATAAAATTGTAATAATTGACAGGTGTGGACGGAACAAGATAAATCTTTTTTTTGTCTCGTCCACACCTTTCAATTATAAAAATTATCTCTTGCGGTTTTTTATTTAATGTATAGCCGAAGAAAAATATTTTTAACAATTTTGATACCAAAATATTATATAATAAATTATCTACAATTTTTTTATAAAAACAGTTTTGTAATTCGTGCGTTTTGTGCGCCTAAAATGGCCCCAGGGTTATTTTGACGAACTATAATTTTTCTTTTAACCTTATCCCACAATTGCTCAGTTGGATTAAGATCCGGTAAACAAGAAGGCGACTTTAAAACAGTCACACCTTCCATTTCTAAACAATTTTTGGCAACTATGATGGTAAATGGAGGTACATTATCCTGCATTTGGTGCATGCATTTCACGCCAAGCGGGCAACTTTAAAAGTATAGTTTATTTTTTGTCATATTTTTATTATTATTTTTAAATCGAGTAGGCAGCTTTAAAATACAATTATACAAGGTGCACGACGTGCTACCAAGTATTCACAGACCCCTAGCAGGGCCCCTGGGCCTTGCAGAGTCTTAATTTTTTAAATGGTTTTTCATTAAGAGTGATAGATCTTTGATCAACGATGGCTTTGTTATTTCAAAAGTCATTTTTAGACGTAGGAACGTATTCTACAAAGCTTGTCATTTTATAATGAAGAGATACACAAGTGCTCAATGAATCCAGATAATTCAAATTTATTATTAAAATAACCCGCAACAAACGTTCCGTGCGTTACGCGAATTTTATGATATTCATCATCGACTAACCGAAGCAACTATTCGACGAATTGTGACAAAATTTAAAACAATCGGCTCTGTTAAGAATCTCCCAACACCTGTGCGCTGCAGCAACATTCTCTAACAGCATGCTGAAAAGTGTGCATTAGAATCATAAACTGTTAATTTCCCGACGTTCGCAAGAATTGGGCCTTTCTCAGTCCTCAGTTTGGCGAATCTTTCGGAAAGACTTACACCCCTATAAGATCCAGTTGACCCAAGAGCTCAAGCCAAACGATAATCTTTTGCGTCGACGTTTTGCTTATTGGGATCTAGAGCATTTGGAAGCAGACCCTGAATTCGGCCAGACACCACATTTTTAACGATGAGGCTCATTTTTGGTTGAACAGCAGAACTGTCGGATTTGGGGTGAAGCAAACCCACGAGAGAGCGTCAACTGCATTCAGAAAAGTTTAGTGTATGGTATGGGATTTCTTTTGGCCTCGCTTGGAGGATATAGATCTGTAAAACATGTTTTTCCAACAGG